GATTATGTGTGGCTTCCTCTTGATAGGTATGATGCAGTAACTTACTTGAAATATTTGGATACACTGAGAGTTTCAGAGAGTTTTCGGTCTGTTTGGATATTTGCAGAGGCGAGCTATAAGATATTTGACTATGCAAAGAAGCGTGTTTTTCATCTTGTGAGGTTGGATGGTGTGAAATTTAATGAATCGAGTAAGGGTGTCAAAAACAAAAAGAGAAAAACTAAGGGTGATGACAAAAACATTGAAGAAGGTAAGAGATTATTACTATGTTTTGTACGGTGTGCTTTATTCTGGCATGGGTCTTGACCCTTTATGTTGATTAATTCTATAGAAAATTAAAATTAAAAAATAGCGGGGGAGATTAAATATGAGATGTGGCATGCCAAGGGTAGGGATGACATTTTTGTCAGCTTAATTTTTATTTTATATATGCTTGTGTAACAGTTGATGGTACTTCATCATCTAGTTCAAATGCTGGCTTAATTCTGGAGGAAGTCTTGGAAGAAGCACCAAAGTGGAAGGTCTTACGTGTGAGTCAGTGAGTTCCAATTCTAGAAAGTCTCTGGGCTATGTTCCTCTTATTGGATTTGATATGTGAGATTGACAGACATTAATTTTTGCATTGTTTCAATTCAAATGTGTTTAGTCTATTTGTTGTTTCATGATTGGATGGCCTGAAGAGAGTTTTGAACCAAAAAAAAAGTTGAATTTGATCATGAATGTTGGATAGTTTGGGCTGAAACTTGATTTCATTATCGTTATAGGAGGTTCTTGAGGAAGTAGAGGAGGAAAGACAAAAACAAGGTATGTTGAGGGAAGAAGTATTGGCTGAAGGTGAAGACACTGATAATGGCATTGTATTAGTGGCATGTAAAGATGAAAGGTCGTGCTTGCAACTAGAAGAATTCATCATGAATGGTCCAAAAAAGGTTTTTATCCCTCCACTTTTCTTGTGATAGGTTGCCTTATAAAGTGTAATCTGAATGTTGCTGTCACTATTTCTACTATGTTCTTCACTTGGTTTAATTGGTTATAGTAATAAAATTTATATGGTCTAATAACTCATTGTCTCTCATTAGCTAGCTTGAAGGTTTATTTTTGTGATTATGATGGAGGTTTTCAGGTCTAGATTTCTTTTTATAATTTCTGTTGGTTGATAGTCAACAAAATTTGAAGAAACTGACTTTTGTATCCTGTTTATTTATTTTATTTTTTTGTGAAGGTCATGCATGAAGAATGGAAGAAGTACTTACTAAACAAAGTTCAACTGCGTGACATAGTGCATAAGAAAAAGAAGCCTAAGGATCCCAAACCCAAAGGTTTTGGCATTCTTGATGGAGTTACTCCCATAACACCTGCACAGAATTCAGAAACCACCAGCATTAGTAAGCAGGAGCATGATGCACTTTTAGCAGCAGCATCAAAACTAAAAAATCTAGCTCAAAATGATAATGTTGTTGAGGATACCCCTCAGCCTGATGTTGGTGGACAGGGTCATGCTAAAAGAAAGAGAAAAGTGGGGGTTAGAAATCGTGCAGCTGTTCTTGATGGTTCTGGAGTTCAGAACAGTGATAAAGAGGAATCAACAAGTGATAAAATTAGGATGTCTGATTCAAAAAATAAAATCGATGTAGATGAGACTAATGCTGGTAGATTTTGTGAAACCATGAAGGACGGGACATCTGTGGAAAACATAGTTCTTCGAAGGCATACTAATCCTGATGCTGCAGCAAGTAACGGGAAGCCACTACCACCAGTGCATTTTTATGCTCTAGAAAGTGATCAGCCTATACTAGATATATTAAAGCCCTCTATAGTCATTGTTTACCATCCAGACATGACCTTTGTTAGGGAAATCGAAGTCTACAAAGCTGAGAATCCTTCAAAAAGGTTGAAAGTATATTTTCTTTTCTATGAAGAATCAACTGAGGTTCAGAAGTTTGAGGCTAGTATACGTAGAGAGAATGGAGCATTTGAATCTTTAATTAGGCAAAAGTCTATGATGATGATTCCAGTTGACCAGGTTTGTTTGACCGCTTTTTTCTTTCCTTCTTGTTTCTCTTTATGTTGTTGGTTGCTTCATGTGTCGTTTGTTTTCAACATTGTTGCCTTCAGTAGAACAAGATGGAGTCAAGTACTCATTTAATTGATTTCATTTTTTTTTTTTTTTTTTTGCTCTTATTGTGGTGCATTTACCCTGCTGTTGATCAGAGTGGGCATTGTTTAGGATCGAATTCTTCTTTAGAGTCAGATTTAAATACTCCTCAAAACTCAGTAACCAGAAAAGCAGGTGGGAGAAAGGAGGCTGATAAAGAAATGCAGGTTTATGATATTTTCTTATGCATAAAGTGTTGATCTTTGATGCATACACTTACGAGAGAATTTATAGTCTGGGTATTTCAACATTTCAGGTTATTGTTGACATGCGGGAGTTCATGAGCAGCCTTCCAAATGTGCTTCATCAGAAGGGAATGCGCATCATTCCAGTGACCCTAGAAGTTGGTGACTATATCCTATCACCATTAATTTGTGTGGAAAGAAAAAGTATTCAAGATCTCTTTATGAGCTTCACGTCAGGTCGTCTATACCACCAGGTGGAGACAATGGTACGATATTACAGAATACCTGTGCTCTTGATCGAGTTTTCACAGGATAAGAGCTTCTCGTTCCAGGTTTGTTGACCACAATACTTTATCTCTTCTTTTCATCTATATCTTTTCTTGTTCTTCCACTACTCTACTTCTCCCCCTCCTCCTGCAGCCCATTTCTAAGAAACTACTACTATTATTATTAATGGCATTGGCATGTCTAGATGAGGGGGAGAGCTTATTTTGGTCCAAATTAGTATAAATTCTTGGGCTTCACGGCTTCACATTTAAAACGACTTGGCTGAGCTGATAGAAAGTATTGTTTTTTCTGCTTTGATAGAAATGATTATTCAAATATCATATTTATTGAATTGCATGGCATAAGGTTTAGCACTAACAGATTTGCATTTTGTTTTTTGATATTGTGGATGGCATTAAACCTTTCATGGATATCTTATGCAGTCTGCTAGTGATATTGGTGATGATGTGACCCCAAATAGCGTTATATCAAAGTTGTCTTTGCTTGCTCTACACTTCCCCCGACTACGAATAATCTGGTCTCGAAGTTTGCATGCTACTGCTGAAATATTTGCTTCACTGAAGGCAAATCAAGATGAGCCAGATGAAACAAAAGCAATCAGAGTGGGTGTCCCCTCAGAAGAGGGAATTGTGGAAAATGATGCGAGGTAAGTTGTTTTTTCATAGTTTAAACTTGAAAGTAGCTTTCTGCTTCCAAGGATGAGGTGAAAACATGTGCTTTACAGGAAGTGGATCACGTGGGTCCCCTGCATATAAATTGTTGTAACTGTACGGAACATAATGAGTTGTTTCTCCCATAGTTTACAAGGCATGCAGGCGCACCTCCAGCCTTCAAGTCTAAAATGATATTGATCTATGAATTAAAATGGCAATAAGTGGTCAACGAACCTGGAATGAAAAGCTCTTATCCAGGATAAAATGGCAAATATTGATTCGTGGTGTGGGCATATATTAATTAAGACATTTTTACTTTAATTAGAATTGCTATTAAATAATTAGCAATAGCATTGCCATGTCTGAACATGCTCCTTTCCTTGCCTATAAAAAACATGCACGGACTCTGCATTACTATATTAATTTTAGAGTGGAAGAGCTCCGATTCATTCAGAGTGTTTGGTATCTATTTGTGTCATTACTGATTTTGTATGAAGTGTTGTATGAAAAATTTGTGTTTTCTTGCTGCCACAGGGCTGAAAATTACAATACATCGGCTGTGGAGTTTCTAAGACGACTTCCAGGTGTTACAGACTCAAACTACAGGGCCATAATGGATGGGTGCAAGAGCTTGGCAGAACTTGCACTTCTTCCTGTAGAGAAGCTAGCAGAATTAATGGGTGGTCATAAAGCTGCTCGGACTCTTAGAGACTTTTTAGATGCTAAATACCCGACTTTGTTGTGAGGTAATCAGGATAATTCATTTGTAGAAAAGGTACTATCAATTTATTCAAGTCGTCTATTTTTTCTATTCTACATCATTGGGTTATGGGGGCATTCCATTGTTGGAAATCGGAAAACGGGCCATTGAGTTATTTAATATTTCCCTTTCTCGTGGTTCATTCTGTTGTAACTTTACAATATTGTATTACTTCATTTTTTTCTTTTTTAATTGTGTTCTTCTTATTATTATTTTTCAATTCATGTTTGTATCTGATGGTTTTGTTTTTGATACGAGCTGCGAGGCTTATTATCCCCTTTCTTTCCCGGATGCCCAACAAAAATATCCGTGGTTATTTTATTTACTATGTATAAGACAGGTTTACGAGTATTTTAAAATGGAAAAAAGATAATTTTTATGAATTAAAATTTGTAAAAAAACAATACGAATTGGATCAGATTTGATGGCAAACTCAACTAACTTGTTACGAAGTTCGAGACACTCCTTAAAAATTCTAGTATAAATTTCAGCCCAACCTTGTCTAGACTGAAATTTAGTTGGATGAATGTATAGTAATTGCCAATTTTCCAGTCAATCTGCTATTTTAAAATTAATTTATAAAAAAATATTTAACCTCGATGTTTTTTTTTTGTTGGACTGAGTAAGAGATGAGTTTAACCTCAATGTTAGATTTAATAGGCTGACTATTAAATCGGAGCCTGACAGCGAGTGTTCAGTCCACCATGGTCCATGTCCAATTCCATGAGGCTGGTTGCTTTGGCATTATCACACAGGAAGCAGAAGTGACATTGATGTGTGCATTGGCATGTCCAAATTGTCTTAACCCAAAGCGAATCGGCCTGAATTTGACTATACAGACCCATGTATCATATATGCCGCCGAAAAGATACAATGATAGAAATGTTTCACCACTTCTAAAGAATAATATTGTTAATTTCTTGAAGAGCTTGAATCAAGAAGGGACTGTGCAACATATCTTTAGAAAATCGATTCTCTCATTCTTTCTATATCACATAAGATACATGTATACAGCATATTAATCTCATTCAGTCTTTACAATATTTTTGGTAAGTTGGACTAATACTAGTGTAGTAGTGTTGTTTGGAGGCAATAAAGGGAGAAGAGTTAGAATTAAATCAGCACACAAATAGCGTGTATGATTCCACTTCCCGGATGTTTTTCACATTTATTAAGCAGCTGTTGTACTTGCACATTTCAAACGTGATTTCTTACTTCTTGGGATTCCAAACATTCATAAACTCAGCTGCCTCAACTATAGCACCTGAACTTGTACCTTATTAGTTTGTAGGTTGGGTAAGCTTGAATTCACTATCTCGAATTCATCTGCTTGGTAAGTGGAATGAACACCATAGAGGACATAGAAGAGGGTAATGAAACATGCCCACACAGCAAACCTTTGAAAAGAGAGGAGCTTTAGAGTGGTGATAAGGAAAACATTGAGAAAGATGGAGAGGGCAGGTGGCCAGGGCATGAATGGGACACGCCAATCAGTATCAGCATCGGCATGAGGCACCTTATGGTGGTAAAAAGCTGTGATGGTGATCATGAGCCCACCAAAGAGTGGGAGACCCCACTCTTGCTGATTGAATTTCCATGAAAGGGAGAAGCCTAGAGCACTAAGTGAAAAGAGAGATAGAAACAACAGAGTATACAAAGGTGGGGTGTGGCCACTGATTACATATCGACGGTATATAAGAGCATTGGCCACCAAGTAGAACACCAAGAGCGTTCCGATGTTCACCAACTCGATTATAATGTCAAGCTCAGTAAAAAGTGCAATGAATGCTGTGCAAACTCCTGCAAAAAAATAAAATTAAAATATTTGTGGTTTCTAACATAATTTTAACTTAACAAGTATTTTTTTTCTGGACCAATTAATTCCTTCTATTCAACTCAATCAAAATAATTCTCAAAATTGCTATTATTGTAATTTTTAAGTACTATTTTGAAATATTGTTTTTTTTAATTGAAAACAGTTTTTTTTATTTTTAAGTTTTATAAGTTGCTTTAAAAGTACATTGAAAATTTTATCGGAACAAAATAGGGTAAGATAATAGTTGCTAGGATTGTGTTTTATTGATCATTGCAATATCGTAAAAACTAAAAACAAAATGTAATTTAAATTTACACCGACATATCAAAGTACAAAAGTTTTTATGAAATGAATATAATTACATGTTTTTTTGTGAAGAAATTGTATCTTTTCAAGCAACTGCTTTATAAGGACGTCAAATAGTATATTTTGCGTCACTTAATTTTATCCATTAGCCTCTAGGTGACATTCAATCCTTTTTGAAAAGCGTGAGCATGATGAGAGGATAACTATTGTTGCAATTTGCAAATAATTATTTAGTATGTCTTATTTAACTGGGATACAATATACAAGTAAAAATAACACCTTATTGTTAGCAAGTAAAACTCGGTTATAAATGCTGATTGTCAAGTTAACAGTAGCAATGAGAGGAAGCAAAAAGGAGAAAAAAAATGGAGAAATTAATGTTGATTGTTTGGTTAATTAATTAGAAGAAATAGATTAGAAAATGATTACCCAAAAAGAGTGTGGCATTTAAAGGGGTGCCTGTGGAAGGATGCACTTTGGCTAACGAAGAGGGCACTAGTCTTGCCCTTCCAATAACACAAAGGTATCTAGCTTGCCCTAGCATCGCAACCAAGAGAGAAGCCACTATGCCCAAACTTGCACCTGCCCCAACCACATTGCTCTCCCACATCCATCCTATCTTTCCAAAAGCGATTGAAAACGACGCTTTATCTGATATCTGTTCATAAAGTCACACCAATAATTGCTTTCTCACTTATCACTACCCACTACCAAACAAACTGACATTTATATGATGCATAAATTTATATCCAAAAACATTTCAGGCTTAACTCTAAGAATATTAATGGGAATCGTTGTCTCGGATACTAATTGGAGTAAATTATATAAATATTTCTTGAGGTTTTGTGAAATATCATATTTACATTCCCTTACTTTTTTTATCACTATAGAAAATCTTATTATAACACTCCTTAAATATTATATTAACATTCTTTAATTGTTTAAAAAAATTATATTCAGACTCCTTAGAAGGAAGATTGCTGTAAACTTTAAAAACATAAATGAGTTGTTTACAATTTTACGGAATATAATATAAACTAACCTTGTTGTAAGGAGTTATCATACACAAAGATAGAGCCATTAGGCAATAAAGCATGGTGGTTATGAGTACTGAACCCATGATTCCAATAGGAAGGCTCTTAGAAGGATCTTTGATCTCCTCTGCTAAGGTTGAAGCCGAGTCATAGCCGATATAGCTGAAGTAGACTTTAGCTGCTCCATCTACAACACCTCTCACACCAAAAGGTGCTAGTCCGTTGGGACTGACCAAGTTTTTGGCACTTCCATTGCAAAAACAAGCCACTATGATAAATCCAAAGAAAATCACATGGAACACTGTCATGATCAGGTTCAATAAGGAGCTTTCCTTGGTACTGCAATCAACCAAAAAAATAATATAAGAATAAAACAAAACTAATGCCGTTTCAGAATCCACTAAGTCATTTTGGAATTCTTTTTAATAAATACTTAAGAGAGAAGAAAATAAGAAAGTAAAATAAATTATATTTCTTATAATTAAAATTAACTTATACATATTTTAAAATTAAATTTTGAAGAATTTAATGAAAAAGTTTTATAGATTAATTTGTACTTAACTTCTTATTTTCTTCTTTTATGATTATTTTTTAAAAACTTATTCAAACATAAGCTAAATCTAGTCAATAGTGTTCAGAACGGCTCAACTGTTTGATAAAAAAGAATTTTAAGAAAAAAACTAATATATATATATATATACGTTTTTTGAAAAATGTGGTGTTACAAGTTCATATATATATATGTGTGTGTATCAATATATTCGTCTATAACAATAAAAATAATTATGACAAAAAACCATATAATAATAATAGCATTTTTTTTTTAAATTGGGGTGTTACAGGTTCTTATATATATATATATATATTTTGGACAAGACAAAATAATATGTTAAAATATTAAATAGTTTATCCAATGAAAACTTGATCACCAAGCTAACAAAAGTGAGAAAAATCAAACCTATGACACAAGCAGAGAGTGAGAAGAAGAATAAGTGACACAGCTGGGAAATCCAACATGTTATAGTTCTTTGGCAATCCATGAACTTCCACTCTCCACACGTTTGGATCATTTGCTCCAAATGCAAAGCTCAAATACTCCGTGAAACTCCTTGATACAGCAGCATTAGAGAACACATACTCCATTAGTATATTTGCCCCAGCAAAATACCCCACAAACTCTCCTACATCATCCATAAAAAGACTAAGACATAATAAACAAATGAAATTCAATCAATGACTTGTAAGATAGTCATGTTAAAAATAAAATAAAAAATCTTTTTTGTACCAAAGGTTAATCTTAAATAACTGAAAGCTCCTCCTGCTACTGGCACTTGAACAGCAAATTCAGTGTAACACAAAGATGAGAGAAGAGCTGATAGTCCAGCAATAATATAGGATATGAAAACTGAAGGACCAGATTGGTGATGTGCTACAGAACCAGTTGTGACAAAGACACCAACACCTAGCATTCCTCCTAGTCCAAGAGCTACCAAATCATACCACTTGAGATTCCTCTTCATGTCTGCCCCAGACCTTTGCCTCACTTGGTTCAGTTCCTGGTCCGGGGTCCATGTGGCTAACATTCTCTTTTTCAGTCTTTGAGGAGTTTGGGAAAGGGAATGGAAATAACCTGTTAAAGTTGTCAAGTTGTTGGTTGCAGTTTGGATGTTATTGTTAGCCATTGTTGTGTATAAGCACCGAGTTTCTTGGCTTCAGCGAGGAGTGGATTGAAGGTTTTAAATATGCATTTGGGAGGGGGGGAACATTGGTTTTTTGAGTAATGTCCCATAACCTTAGTCTTTTTTGAAAGTACATACTAGTCCTTTAGACCTTTTGGATATTTTATTTTTTCTTCACTTCATATATTCTTAACTAAGACAATTTTATTTGATTTGAGATGAATAGGTAAAATTCTCTTTTTAAGTATTTAATACAGTTATATATTAAGAATTTGAACTACAGATTACTACTTAAGTTGAAATAACTTCTTAGATATTAATAATGAATGAAATGAAATTATTACACCACTTTTATTTATATATATTATGATAAAAGAAAATAGAAGAAAAATTATTTTATTATTTAGGAAGTAAGTGAGAATGACAAAGAGATTATTAAACAATAGATTAATTCCATCCCATGTGGTATAGTGGCGGAAGGATTTTATAGGTATTAGATTAATTCGGATGTAACAATTTTTATGTTTGATTATATTTCCTCCTATTTTAAACAATTCAAATAACTTGAAAAGTATTGTTTTTGCATGACAATTAATGTTATTCCATTCCATCAATCAAATATAGTCTCATTATAAGTTTGGTAAGGTGTCGTTTAAAATAGATTGAATTTTATTAATATGAATCAAAAGTTATAAATCCGACCTTTAAATTTATTTTCTCCAATTTTAAAAGATATCAAATTGAATTTAGTATTTTGAATATGATTCCAACCCCCTTTACTCTCAATCCCATCCTCAGGCATATAGCTAGTTACTATTGTTACTTGAAGAGCACAAGACCTGCATTGAATTTTTATTGATGAAAGTATGCAATCGAAAATGACAGAATAATTAACTAAAATAACCTATGGTATGGAAATGGCACAAGAACTATATATTAAAAAAAATAACTTTGAAGAGGAATATCACTGTGAGAGCTTTGACCCAATCTTTTGAATTTTTAATTTAACCCTGGACATGAACCTATGATAAGATGAGACAAGCATCCACAAAACAAAAGAAAGATTTCTTCACTAACATAAGAATAATTTGACTTGATTCTTTATTCAGAACATCACATTGCGGTAGTAATTAAGTTGGAACTAGCATAATATATCTATTAATTAGGAAAACGAAACAAGGGTCAGTTCGAATCATTCTGTTTAAACAATTTAGTAGGCTTGCAATATTTCCCACATGATCAATCCAAAAATGATGCTCAAGTTTATACAACACCACCTTTTAAGGTTCATCTTCTTATACCTTTTTCTTTGGATGGAGAGGGAAGAGAACCAGGAAAATGTGAACGCAAACACATTTAGACTAGTATATGTGTCATTCCTAAATCCTGTTTCAATTTTTGCAAAAAGGAAAATATTATTTTTTAAAGTTTAGCCGAATCAGAGTGGTGGTTATAATTGGCATTTGACGTCCCAACATGATTATTAATAATGTTTGTGCGTCATTAGTCATTACATAGATCGGAAATGATTTGCATGTATCTACATATTGAGGATATAAGGTTTAGGATATTTATGTCCCACTATGCCATATAACTTACCTAGCCCATACGGAATTCTGAGATATATAGCTAGTACTCTCGTGAAGTTGATGGCATATGAAACTTTAGCCAGAATTTATGTCCTAATGTGTGCCCTTATATTAGTTGCTTAGTTGCTTACCCTATACGAAATTCTGTGATACTATTTAAAAAGTTTAGGGCATACGACCTAGGGAACTTTAGCAAAAAGCTTGATGCATGCTTGTCTTGAAGTTCGGCTGGTTCAACCAACCAGTCCATGTATATCCAAATTGGACTACCAAGCTTAGAACACATAATATAACTTCCTCACAAAAGAAATAAGATCAATGAAAATTCGTTATAGCAGTTGGCAGTTATAGTTAAAAATTGTTTTTACGCAAGTCCCAATCAAGCAAGATTATTTTGTGCCTTTTTCTTTTTCAAAGGGAAAAAATTGACCTACTTGATAATGAAAAGGTTAAGGTCAATATTGGTGTAGTGTAAATCTTACTCTCAAATTGAGTGTATAATTTGAGATATGTTAGAATTCCAAAGTCTCTTGTGTCTAATAGATACCTCGTAGTCCTTAGCACTAAGGTTATATTTTGTACTCTTATGAGAAATATATTTTTATCAATAAAAATGTTATACATTTGCATACAAAATTTACATTAATAAAAAAGTGTTTATTTTAAATCTAAACTATCACAATTTTATTTTTAATCATTATTTAAAAGGTCTATAATGAATAAAATATGTTCATTAATTTCTTTTTTTTTTTTTAACGATATAAGAGGTTATTTGTATCCCAATATTAATCATTTCAAATTCATTTACACAAAAAAAAAACTATTATTCTATATATATATATATATTATAGATCTCTAATAAACTATTAATATGATTAAAATAAAGCATATAAATAATAATAATTCTCACCTAACATACAAATCAATTTGTAAAGTTTCTTTACTTTTTGTATTAATCAATTTATAAAATTGAATTAAGCTCGATCTTACTCTCTTAAGAATTTTAAACTATTATAATTTGATCAAACTTTCGTGCTGACGGTTAATTAAATTTTATTAATTTTGTTTTTAAAACTAAAAACATTTAATTGTGTCGCATAATAATTGACTGAGATGAATACGAGGAAATCCAAAGTGTTTGATAATTTTCGGGGGATATTTTAGAACTTGACAATTTTGAGAAGGTTCTGGACCGTATAGTTTGTCCTTGGTTTAATTAGTGGTTATCTAATCACTAAAAGATTGGCACAAATTGACATCATGAGGATGACAAGGTAGAGGTTTGTATGCTGTAGAACAAGATAACGAACATTCACATTGCTATGAACGCTCCAATTAATCTAATTCTGCATCAAGCTTTCATTCCCTTCAATGATGATCACTCCAATCGCAATATGGAACATGACATGACATCTAACAAAAAAAAATTTACATTTCAGCATCCAAAAGATCATGGGAAAAATATGGTCGTGCCTGAAAATTTTAAAAGGGAAACTTTCTCAAGTAGTTGAGACAATTTAAACACACTATCGATCGGAAAGAAGCCCTCTAAATGAAATTCACTGCAAGCAAGAAAAAGTAACAGCTTTATTGATCATTTAAAATAGTTAGCTCCACCCTCTTATTTTGGTAAGTACTACAAATTAAAGGATTCTGCTGTCAATGCTTGTGATGATGTCATTATTTCATATGAAAATATATAAATACTCTTTAGTTTGTCTCTCGAATTATTTATCTTTTAAGATATTTAAATCTTTTAAAAAATAAAATTTAATTATATAAATACTACAAAAAAATGTTATGACATACAAAAAAGTCATTATAAATACTATTTATCTATACATAATTTTAGTATTGATTTTAAATAAAATTCAATAACATGTATTATATGTTACTATAGTTTATATCTATATTTTTTTAATAATATATCAATATATATTTTATTTATATAAGTAAAAATAATTTTTAGTATTAAGTATTGTGTTACTATTAGATGTGTTACTATATAATATTTTTTAAGTAAAATTAAAATAAATGGTGATTTTCTTTGACAAAAGTCACCTTTTTAAAAAGTATAAAATGTAATCATAACTCTTAAATTAAATAAAGAAAAATAATCAATACTTTCTTGATTTTTTAAAATGACATATGATGAAACAAAATATCAGGAACATCTCCAATGGAAGCAACTCATTTGAGTTGCTTTATGCATTGAAAAATGAAATAAATGTCTCCAATGTGTCATGTCAACATTAAGCAATTCAAACACAAATTTACTCTAATGGTAAGAAACTTTAAGAAATTCAACTTTTAGAATTTTTTTTCTAATTATTTATGAACCAAATTTAAATTTTTATTAAAAAAGATAATTACACTAATAAATTACAAGAAAAAATACAGAATAAGTATATTAAAAATAAAATAAAACAATAATAAATACATAAACATTATACGAAATTAATTTTCATCATTATTATTTCTGAACGTTCCCAAATATGTTCAATAAAATCTGCTTGAAATTTGGTAAGGAACGGTTGCTTGAGAAAACAACTCTCTCTTCTTCAAGCAACTCATGTTGCCACGTCAGAGTCTTCCAATGACAAGAAACTGAGATTCGAGTTGCTTCATGGGACAAGCAACTTCCGTTGCTCTTAGGACATCTCCAATGGAAGCAACTCATTTGAGTTGCTTCATGCATTGAAAAATGAAAAAAGTGGTCCTTAGTGTGCCATATCAGCATTAAGCAACTCAAGCTGATAAGTGTCTAATTAGTTTGATTTAATACTCACTTGAGACACTTATCTAACACATTTTGTGTACATATTGATATTATTTTGATCTATATATGCTTAGAATAAAAGAGGTGCTTTTGATTAATGTTAGTATAGAGAATAGGAAGCCTTTGATCCAAATTGGTGCTTATTTTGTAGATTTTGAAACCTGGAGAAGAATGGCTCAGCCATTCTGAAGCGCTCAGCGGATTCAAGTCAGAGAACTTCCCAAACTGAAGGCGCTCAGCCATTCTGAAGCGCCCAGCGGATTGGCCCCTGGAGGAGAAGGAATGCTCTCTGCCTCCAATCCGCTCAGCCATTCCCATCCGCTCAGCGGATTTCATCCAGGAACAAGGGGTGCTCTCTGCCTCTAAAGCGCTCAGCGGATCTAAGGCGCTCAGCCATTGAGGTTTCTTCATGGTGAAGAACTCCCAATCCGCTCAGCCGTTTCAAGGCGCTGAGCGGATTCATCTCTCTCTTGCTTACTCTGTTTTCATATATAAGGAAAGAAAGAGAGAGAAGTGGAAAAAAGGCTGTACGGAAGGAGAAAGAAAACAGAGAGAGGAGAAAAACAGAGTACTCTGGAGCTCGTGGGAACGCGAATCTTCAAAGGATCTTCTTCTTCTACCTCTCAACTTGTAATTTGGTGATTTCTTGTAATATGGAGAGCTAATCTCTAGGGTTGGGATAGATGTAATCATCAAACTC